GCAGAAGTTCCAAATCGCAACCTGCGCATGTGCAGATGCGCAGACACGGGTTGCGATCGCTGCAGGTTGCGAACATGTATCCCGCACGGATCACATGCGCAACCCGAGCAGCCACTGTAATTATCTTGAAAGTTTTCTCTGTTTTCAAGAGATTACTTGATTCCCACACCCCACCACCGCCATCCCTGGGAGGTGTGGAGGGACAGTATAGGAAGGAGTTGATTATTTAAGAGCTCGGTATGTGTGCAAGAATGTGCACATGAGTTTGTGTGTGTTTGTGAGAGCGCGGGAGAGGCAGAACAAGAGAGCTCTGCAAATGAAAGGGCTTGAGCTGGTTCTGTGTACGGGTGTGTGTGTTTTGCATACACAGCAAGTATAACTACGCGCCAGATTTATGGGCATTGTGGACTGGTTGCTATGACAACCCCTCCAGCTGCTCTGCACCAAATAACCTTGTCATGTGAGCATTTATCAGGAGCACATCATCGAGTACAGGATTGCACTGTGCGCTCATTGCCTAAACAGCAGGAGGCTTCCTGCATATTAATTGCTCCCGGCCTTTTATATGATACGAGTCAAAGTCCCCAAATTATCTCGACACCTGAGAAGGATAGAGAAGAGTTGGGCTGTCCTGTTTTTCGAAGGCAGCCTTTCTCAACCTGTGGGTCCCCAAATGTTGTTGGACTACAACTCCCATCACCCCTAGCTAGCAAGGCCAGAGCTCAGGGATGATGGGAGTTGTAGTCCAACAACATCTGGGGGGCCACAGGGTGAGAACTGCTGTTCTAAGGCTAGCCACAACCTTGCGAGCAACAGGACCATTTATGAAACTGGGTCAAGCCATCAGTCCACCTGTCTAAGGATTGTCTGCTCTCAGCTTGCACAACCTACAAACCATCAAGGCCAACATTACCCACCAGGAACACAAGGAGGTGCCTTATACAGATTCAGACCCTTGCTCCATCTCACTCAGTGTGGTCTACACTGGCTCAGTTGGTCGAGCATAAGACTCTTAATATTAAGGTTGTGGGTTCGAAACCCACGTTGGGCAAAAGATCTCTGCATTGCTGGGGGCAGATCTCATAGTAGCATCAGAGGCCACCTGAAACTAAGTGAGGCCCTTGGTCCATCTAGTGTAGTACTGTGGCAGGTGGCACACCAGGGTTTAAGGTGGCAGGTTTTGGTGTCCACTGGCCAGTTTACTATCATTCTGTATCCTAATGCAACATTTGGGCTCCTTTGTACACACACTTGGGGCATCACTTTATCTCCATCCATGCTGGCTTCTGTATTTTGCACTAACAGCCCCATAGGGAGTACATGGATTCACCAGAACATCATCATCATCATCATCATCATCATCATCATCATCATCATCATTGTTTTATTTATATCCTGTCCTCCCCAGCTGAAGCTGGGCTCAGAGTAGCTAACAACAGTAAAAATAACACAGTTTACATAAAATCACAATAGATTCTAAAATCAAATCTAAAATCAATTCATTCTAAAATCAATTCAGAGTCAAATTAATGGCAACCATTGGGCTAGAGTTCTATGAGGATTACAGGAGGAGGGGTCAGACTGTGCCTTGGCCAAAGGCCTGGGGAAACAGCTCTGTCTTGCAGGCCCTGCAGAAAGATGTCAAGTCCCGCAGGGCCCTGGTCTCTTGTGACAGAGCGTTCCACCAGATTGGGGCCACAGCCAAAATAGCCCTGGCTCTGGTTGAGGCCAGCCTAACCTCCCTGTAGCCCAGGATCTCCAAGATGTTTTTCTCAACATGTGTCTCAATACCAGGATGTGCCTGTTCACGAATGGCTGAAGCTGTCCAGAGCTCGAGTGACACTCTGGAATTGGGGTATGTTGGCCAAGGACAACTTAGGTGCATTGACACATGGGAGATACTGTGTTATTTTCCCTGATTATAATGCTAGCACTTCTATTGTGTTTTCAAATGATCTTTAAAGCCCTAAACAGCCTCGGTCCAGTATACCTGAAGGAGCGTCTCCACCCTCATCATTCAGCCCAGACACTGAGGTACAGCGCCGAGGGCCTTCTGGTGGTTCCCTCACTGCGAAAGCCAAGTTACAGGGAAGCAGGCAGAGGGCCTTCTCGGTGGTGGTGCCCGCCCTGTGGAACGCCCTCCCACCAGATGTCAAAGAAATAAACAACTACCTGACTTTTAGAAGACATCTGAAGGTAGCCCTGTTTACGGAAGTTTTTAATGTCTACTAGACTATTGTATTTTAATATTCTGTTGGGAGCCACCCAGAGTGGCTGGGGAAACCCAGCCAGATGGGCAGGGTATAAATAATAAACTATTATTATTATTATTATTATTATTATTATTATTATTATTATTCATTTCACACTGCAGCTCCTGCTGTCTTGTGGAACTGTGGGTGTTTTGACCAATATACTGTCTTGGCACACTAAATGTCATTCACACAGCAACAAAGCAACGTGGTTTCTCCCCCATCCTTTCTGTTGCCTGGATAGCTCAGTTGGTTAGAGCGTGGTGCTGATCATGTCAAGGTTGCATGTTCGATCCCTGTATGGTACAGCTGAATAGTCCTGCATTGCGGGGGGTTGGACCAGATGATTCTTTAGGGTCCCTTCCAACTCAACTATTCTACGTTCTCCCAAGATTCATCCATAAAAGCAGCAGGAGAGAATGGCATGCTAGTCTATCGCCCCAAATTCCATCGCTTTACTCCCATGATTTTCTGAGTTAAGGGCGTTGCAAACTGTTTTGTTTTCTTTCTGGAAGCAATTAACGTGGAAATTAGCAGTAAGCTTCCACTATATTCCACTAGATTTTCTGGAAGTGCCTTTTACATTGTGCGAAAGCTCAGATTGAATGCAAAAATGAACTATCAGGAAACAGAATAAAGTGCTGTGTGAATTCAGGGGTAGTGGCTCTCTGGAGGTGCTCCTTTGCAAGTAGAAGAATGGACAAGGCATGGGCTTCTTGTGCTAACTCTAGCAATTTCTATCTTTAAATTAACATTTTCAAAGAAGCCAGAAGCATTTCTACTTGGAATTCTAGGCAGTGATATCCCAAAAAATATAAGAGAAATCTTTTTATATGCAACAGCCGCTGCCTGGTTATTAATTGCATTGAACTGGAAAGGGGGGGAAGTACCAAAAGTAAGGGAATGGCATAATAAATTATTAGACTACGCAGAAATGGCTCGACTGACAAATAGATTAAGGGGGAATACAAAACAACCATTCACGCAAAAATGGGATACGTTCAAGAAATACCTACAAAAATATAACAACGACATAACAACTACGGCAGTATTTGAATGACCGTTGTGTAAATTAAATATTATTAAATAAGGAAAAATGGTATGATATGTTATAAGAAAGTGCTAGAAAATACAGTAAGAGTAAGGTAAGAAGTATAATCACATTCAGTGTTGTAAATGTAACATCGGGAAATGACAGGGAGTCTGTTTTGATGTAATTTAGTTTATTGGATTTTTACTTTGATTTATTTTTGTTTAGTTGGAAAGTATGAGAAAAGAGCATGTACAAGCACAAGTTTAAGTCAATATTTAACGGTATAATTATTTAAGGTTGTTATTACCATTATTATCAGTTTCACCCTGTCTTTGTACAGCCATACCTCGGGTTACAGAAGCTTCAGGTTGCGTTTTTTCAGGTTACGGACACGCCAAAACCAGGAAGTACTGGAACAGATTACTTCCGGGTTTCGGCGCATCCATAACCTGAAAAAACACAACCTGAAGTGTCTGTAACCCGAGGTATGACTGTACCGGAACGGATTGCTTCCGGGTTTCGGTGGTCGCGCATGTGCAGAAGCGCTAAATCACACTTTGCGCATGCGCAGAAGCGCCGAATCACAACCCGCGCGTGCGCAGATGTGCCGCTGCGGGTTGCGAACGTGCATCGCGCACGGATCACATTCGCAACCGGAACATCCACAGTACATGTATTTAAGATTGTGTATGGATGTCAATTAATAATAATAAAATAAAAAGAGAGAGGAAAAACCCTAGCAATTTTGATCAAACTTTGAGAAAAGATTACGGGTTCTGCTCTCTCCCTGCCTTTCCCTGATCAGAACCAAGGGATTATACCCATCACCGCTATCTCTCAACATTCATTCCAGTTCTTAAAATGTGTGTGTGTGTTTTTTTTAAGGTTCCCTGCTGGCGTTGCCTCCTTTTAAAATGGTGTGAGTCTCCCGCCCTTTAATTGAAAAGCCCAGGAACAAACACCAGCCTTCATCTCTGTATGAGCCATTTTACAGTCAGTTTATTGTTCTGCCTTGTCTCTCCCTTCCGTAAGTTGTTTGCTTGAAGTGGCATTTGAAAGACGGGCCAAACTGTTTGAAAATCAAGTGCAGCCGCCACCGTGGAGAAGGGGGGGGAAGGAACGCCACCGCGTCTTCTTGAGAAAATTGATTCGATGGAAGGCATGTCTGGGAGGGAAAGTGAAAAGTTCACGTGTTTTAAAACTGTAGGGCAGAGTCTGAAAACATGAAAGGTTAATACAGCGAATGGAGAAGAGCAAAGAAATGTAGAGACGGTGACCTAATTCTAAGTAGATATCTTATACGGAGCAAATCAGATGGGGGGAGCGAGGAGCATTTATCTCAACCCCCCTTTTGTCGCACTCAGATGGCTCCACGTAAACCTTCCTTTTAATAGCTTATCTTCAATAGATTTAAAGCAAGGATGGGAGGTGGAAGAGGGGAAGAGGGCCCTGCAGGAAAGGATGAGTGGGGCATTAACAGTTGTCCAAAGATTTTCTCCCGAAAGGCTTTCAGGAAACCTGATCTACGCTACTGCTTTGTACTTTATCAATGAGCAGCTGTGATGTTCTGCGCAGGCTGTTTGAGTAAACGGATATAAACCCACAGAACACAGGTCCAGAGAGCGCACGGAAAATAGAGAATCATAGAACTGTAGAGTTGAAAGGGAGCACGAGGGTCATCTAGTCCACCCCCCCCCCGAAATGCAGGCATCTTTTGCCCAAAGTGAGGCTCAAACCCATGGCGCTGAGATTAAGAGTCTTGTGCTGTACCCACTGAGCTATATTATTACAGAAGCAAGAAGCTATGGCACTAAACTGAATGAGCGCATTGATGAGATTGAGGAGACAGGCATGGATTCAAGTTTTCATCACAAGAGGTGTGAAATATACTCGGAGTCGAGAGTGGATTTCATGCTCTTTGTTCAGCTCATGGTAGTGAGGAATGGAAGTTCCCCCAGAATGTCTGCTTTATATACATTATTTACACAATGGGCCCCACGTGATTGGCTAATTCCGGGATTCTCCTGTAGGCCAATCAGGTTGCGGATTCACTTCCACCTGGAGTTGGATTGGGTGATTGCTGCATTCTGGATCCTATTGTTCTAGGACGAATCAGACTGCTGCATTTTGGATCCTATTCAACTCAGTACATAACAAGGTGTTTGGTCTTCTGTCTGGGGAAGTTCTCAGAATTTATTCATTTATTTAGAGCACGCAGAGGCAAACTCCAGCCCTCCAGATGTTTGGGACTACAATTCCCATCACCCCTAGCTAACAGGACCAGTGGTCAGGGATGGTGGGAATTGTAGTCCCAAACATCTGGAGGGCTGGAGTTTGTCTATGCCTGATTTAGAGCATTTGTGTGCCATTCTTTAGCCCGAAAAGCTGCCAAGGTGGATTACATGCAAGCAGTTGAAACAAGACAGTCTCATCCTGCAGGATTACAGTCTTTTAAAAAAATTGCAACACACAAGGGAAAAGGCAGAGGGAGGGAAGAGGAAAACAGCAAACCCAGGTGCCAGTTCTTAAACAGTACTTCTTATGATCAGCTGGCATATGAACAATTAAAAAATGAAATGCAATAATAAGCAATGCCCATTAAATTCCATAAGACTTACCACTGAGTTAGATGTTCTTAGGACTGGACTGTAAATAATATTGTGATGGGTGTGTGGGGTTCCTTGACTCCCCTAAATTCCTGGGTTCCAGACCCCCTTCCCTAATGTGAAAATAAAAGCTAAAACTGCTTTTTCCTTGCTGGGGAATCCCCTGGCAGATAAGCCATTAAGAAATGAAGACTGGCTATCAGTGAATCAAAGGCTGTGCCGGCTGCATATGGGGAAAAGTTAGTGAAGACAGAATGGGGAGGGGATGTTTCAGAATTGCTGTGGGCCTGATGTAAGCGAGTAGGGGGGAAATGTCAGTTTTGTGAGCTTGAGAGATGGGATCAGAGTATGATGCGGGCAGGGAGAAAAGTCCTCACCAGGAGTGGGAGATGCAGAGCCATGGCTGAGGTCTTCTTAAAAAAAATCCAGTATGGTTGCACCTATGGGAGACGAAGGAGACCCTCTTGGGGTGTAATGCTAGGATTCCCCCACCCCTAGACTCAGTTTGTATATATGCGTAAATAAACTATACAGTTGTACCTTGGAAATCAAGTGGAATCCGTTCCAGAAGTCCATTCGACTTCCCAAACTTTCGGAAACTAAAGCACAGCTTCTGATTGGCTGCAGGAAGCTTCTGCAGCCAATCGGAAGCCGTGCTGGATGTATGGCTTCTGAAAATTGTTAGAAAACCAGAACACTCCCTTCTGGTTTTCGATCATCTGGGAGCTGAAACGTATGAGTTCCAAGGCGTTCGGCAACAAAGGTACGGCTGTATATCATAAAGACACCACAGTCTCTGTTGTACCTCATTCCCGAAAGGAGACACAAAACCTACGTAACTGGAATCTCACATAAATATTGGGGTGCAGTGCAACAAAATAAGTGTGCATGAGTAATCACAGGGATTTAGAAAGTGTCGAAAGAATACTTGAAATATCACTAGAATGAGGCGGTTGCTGGTTTGGAAACTTTGAAATATCGTGAGTACAAAATTTGTATCTGTTATCTTAATGTATTCCTTCACTTCCCTCGTTTCTCCCCTTCTGTTGCCTTCAGGGGTCTCTCCCCCCAGCCTGATCTGCTGCCTGCTATGGGGTGTCAATGAAGCTTTATATGCTTTTCTTTCCTCCCTCCCCCACACCTCCCCAGTTGATTTCCTCCACGCCGAAGCATCTGACTGCAATCTGTTTTCTGCCCTATCCAATTCATCTGGTTCTGCGCTGGGCTTTTTCAAACCACTGGCACATGTTGAGTCGCTGAAGCAAGAGTGTGAGCACATTGGCAGTGCCTAAATGTCAAGAGGAGGAGGTTTAATTTAAAAGGCATTCTGTGCCAGTTGGCTCCACCGCATTGGGAAAGAGCTTGTTAGCAGGTGTTCTCTGCTACCGCCACAGCCAGTGGGTGAACAGGAATGTCTTGAAGAGAGGGAGGAAGTCATCCCTCCCAATGTCCAGACTGTGCAAATTCTTCCACAGCATCTGAAACAGAAGCTCCCCAGATGTAGTTGGCCGACAGCATGTCCATCAGCCAGGTATGATGGGAGTTGTAGTCCTGTAGCACCCTGCTTGTGGTTAACGCTTAGCTGGAATGAAATATTCAACGCAGCAATAGAGAAATTAAAATAATAATTTATTTGTCAGACAAATAAATGAGAGACACAGTGGTATATGGATACCAAAGCTCTGCCTACTCCAGCCCTGATGGCCAGCACTTATATTTCCTCAGCCCAGCCCCCTTGCTCCTCCTTTGGCTGCCTCTGTCCAATCAGCCTGGTTGAAATTCCTATTGGTTGTTTGCTAGAACCAATCATAAAAGATACACCCATTTCCTATTCCCTTTTATGGGAGACAAAAGCTATATTTCCTTGTATCCATAAATGGCAGACAAGTAGCCATATATCTTACATTTACCTCGACCAGGCACCTCAATTACCAGATAACCTTTGGCCCCTGTTGCCCTATTCACCGCAAACCAGATGGCTAAAGCAGATGGTGCATGGTTTCTAATTTTTTTATCTTAAAGAGATCTTGAGTTCACCCTCGCACCCACCATACTACGAATCTACTAAGAATCTAACATTTCTTACTTTCTAAATCCTTTGCATAATCACATTTAAGCCAATATATTTCATACATAACATAGATAGATTTTTAGAAGGAAAGGCCTTTTCAAATTAAAGGAATTTAGTAAAAGCTAAGTTCCTAAGTTCTATAAAGAAACCTTTTCCCCTAACCAGCGGCTGTTTCTTCCATTTAACCTTTAACCTTATGGCTCGAGTCTTCTGTTAAACAATAAATTTCACTATTTACCAGTTCTTAATTGTGTTTTTACAGCTTGATTGTATTCTGGTCAGTGTGACCTTTTGCTCTCTGGCTCTAATTTCCTTTTACAACCCTGAAATACTTTTATTTATAGCAGTGGGGCCCTTGAACAGCTGCCAGAGTATTCAGCTGCTCTTCTCCCTTGCATGAGAGAAAAATATATTTACAAATATAATTTTTTTAAGCTCAAAGCAGATTTTGATCAGATGCCTCATTCCCCCCTTTCAAGCTCAAGGACCTTCATCCCAAGTGTCCTTGATAGCTTGACCTTCGTCATATTCCTGAGGTAAAGCTCTGTATAGGGCCATAATATGAGGTAAAGTTTCATTTGAAATCATCTTGCTAATTGTACTTCTAAAACATGAAATGATACATGGCACCGTACATAAAACCATTACTACTACCATCAAGAAAAACAAGCAAGACAATAGTATCCCTTTGAGTCCCGCAACATTAGGTAACCAATTGGTGAGCCATCCCATATCCCATCCTTCCCATATTTGTACTGGGACATGTGCTATACTCTCCATCTTTGTGGCCAACACACGGATTGCCTCACCATTATCAGAAATGTTAAAGCAACAGGCATTCCCTGTCAAGTTTAAGACTCCACATAGGCCTCCCTGCCTGGCAAGTACATAATCCATTCCCATTTTCAGCTGCAAAATGGCGGCTCTACTTTCATCCAACTGTTGTGCAATAAGTCTCAAACTCTGGGCCGTTGCATTGGTTACAAGTTCCACTACTGCTTGCAATCGAATTATTCTGTTTAGATTATAAATAGGATCCCGTGCCCCTTGTATGAGCTCATCAGGATTCCAGGAGGCAGGCTCATAATAGGCTATAATGCGCTCTGGTGGCCAATCATCAGTATCACTCCAACTTTGGGTACTTCCTCCTGCTATATGAGAAATATCAGCATTTCTTCGTGTACGCTTTGCCGAACTAGTGGGCATAATCCACATTGGTGGTAATACCCATCCCAGGAAACAAGTCCCACTCCATTTGGGAGGGAGTTGCTTGTATGCCCATTCTCCACATATCCACCACAACCATCGGGTCTGAGGTTTTTGGTACGTGGAGTGCATAAGGCGAAATATCAAAAGGGGCATAGAGTTCACAGTGCAGTATGTTAGATTGCCTTTTTCTGTCACAGTTATGTTCCACACCAGTTTCCATGCATGAATAAAAGGAGGTGCACAGGGCAAGGTATTCCGAGTTCGATAGGTAGTACCGTTTGCCCAGGTTTGACTATTCTTAATATAATCCCAAGTATAGTGGCAATGAGAAGAGCCTATCATGATAGAATCAGCTGCAGCTGATAATTTATGTACACAGAATTCCCTTGCACAGGTATAACTCGTATTGGTTTAGTTGAGTTCCATCCGGGAAATTCTGTACTTCTGTTTGGTGTGGCATTTCGCTTACCATACCAATGGCATTTAATGGTATCGGTAATAAGGGCATACCTCCCTCTGAATCATCTGGTCCAAGAGAGCAAACAAGGCAATTGGTCCTATTTGTAACATTGGCTACCATCTCAGCTAAGCCTACCCACATATTGTGGTCATGGCGGAATCCATATTTAGCAAATTTGGTCAGATTCAAGGACCCTTCCCTTCCCAAGGGATCAGGATTAATAATAAAATCATGTTGATTACTAGTATATGAATTTCTTCCACAAAAGATTACCTTATTTTGATAACAAAAAATATTAGGCCCAATATAATTCCCCAATGACAGAAATGGGGAACCACCAAGACCAAAACATATATCCCGAGGATCCCCAATGAGTAATATCCTGATAATTGTTCCACAGGGGGGGGGCAGTCAATCAATTGTATAAGAGAATCTTCCTGTTCACAATCG